GCAATTGTAGTGCCTTATACCCTGTTTCAAAATAAAAAATTAAAATGGGGAGGGGAAGAGGGGATGAAGGGAGGGCACGGACAAGGGGGAAAATAAATAAGAACCAAGACCTGTCATGTAAAGGTACATGATCCCAACAATGAATGTAACTGTACTGTATACCTTAAATGTACCAATAAACTCAATAAAAGGGAAAAAAATTAAAAATTAGAAGAGCTGGGAATGTACCCCTAGGTTCAATCCCCTGTACTGAATGAAAAAAGCGAGGAAAAGGCAACAAGGAGGAACTGACATCCAAAGCTAAAAGGCTAGTGAGGCAAAGACAGAACACTGTACAGAGCCCTGCACGAGTGGGCCATGCTGCATTTTACTGGGAGGCTCATGTAGGGAGAAATCTGCTGCCAAGTACATTCAAGTGGCTGGCAAAGTTTACAAATTTCCTTGTTGCCTTATGACTGAAGGCCCCAGTTTTTTACTGGCTCCTAGATGGCAATTACCCTCCCTGAGGCCCTGAGGAGCCACACATAGTTCAGTGCCCGGTGGGCTTCCTCAATTGGGCACATAGTTCATCAAGCCCGCAACAAGAATCTTATTCTGTAGTCTACAACAAGGAGTCCTACAAAATGAATAATGCAATTATAGGAGTGACACCCAAACACTTTGCCACATAATGTAACTGAATACAGTGACATCCTTCACCTTTGCTATAGAATGTAACCTACCTGAGCAGCAGGCCATTACCTTTATCACATTCTATTAGTCAGGGAAGCCAAACTGTAGGCTGTACCCAAACTGAAGACAGGGGATTACAAAAGAGATGGGGAGGTTTGGATGCCTGCTAAGTCCTCATAAAGCTAAGTACAGAATTACCATCTGACATGGCAATGTCCAGATAAATACTTGTACACAAATGTTCGTAGCAGCACTAATCATAGAAGCCAAAAATGGAAATAATACAAATGCCCAGCAACTAATGAATTTATTAAAGCAGTAAATTCATATAATAGAATATTACTCAGCCATAAAAGGAATGAAATATCAATACATACTATAACAGGCATCCTATACTCTGCTTAGTTTATTGTTAAACCTATCTAAAGTCCATCTTTTGTATTTGGAGCTGCATAATTTCTATTTTTATAGACTTAAATTTTCTTGTGAAATTCTTTATTATTTATCTGTTCTTTCCATATTTTCCTCAAATTTAACATAGTAATCATGGTTTTTTGCAATCCATCTATGAGTTTCACAGCCTACTCCATCTATAGCTGCTTCTGTTGTCTGTTGTTTTTCTTCTTGATTTTTGGTTTTTCTTGTTGTATCTAATAAACATGTCTAGTAAATATGTACTAAACAGATAATATGTATAAAGTGAGTGTATAAAATTTATCTCTTAGAATATCATTGATTCAACAAATATTTAGTGAACACTGACTGCAAGCTAAGCACTGTGCGCAAGTGATACAAGAATAAACAGAGTACAATCCCTACCATCCAGGAGCTTACAATCGAATGGGAGGAAATATTTAACGTCATTAAAATGACCAGTCCAATCCTCCAGGCTCTGAGCTCCCTAAAATACCTCTTACCTCTATTACCTCTTCCCACTAATTTGTACCTCCCTGGATCACTCCACTCCCATCAGATGCTTCTACATCATTTATTCAGTATAAGGTACACTTCAGCCCCAACACCTCTGCTTTGTGATTCACACTGCCCAGCTGCTTTGCTTTTCCCCCTTGTAGCCACATGACCTACCCTGTACCTTCTTAGTTTGCTAAATCTATTTAAAAGTGAACACAGCCCCAACCTCCAGCATTTCCCTTGGCAATTCTCTATTTTTTCTATGTTTTACCATAGCGACTGTTACATGTTTTATCATCTGTTTATTGGTCATTTCCTCCCTCTATAGTGTAGTCTCTTACTCACTACTATCTCAGTCACTATCTGCAGCACCGCAAGTACTGTCAGACAAATATTGTATACTTGGTAAATATTTATTGAACAGATGAATGAATGATTTAAAATCAATAGGTTAAATTCAGGGTACTAAAGGGAAACAGAGCAGAGGGCAATCTACCCTGCACAGTTAAGGAATGCTTGTGTGATGAGTTTCTGTTTAATCTAAGACCTGAACCATGAGAAGAAAACACCCAGGAATCAACACAGAAGAAGAATCAACATACATATGACAGAGTTAACTACAGAATTTTCAAGAACTGGAAAGGTGTCAAGTATACATATAATACATATAACGCAAAAGGGAGACCCACACATTATCAGTTCAGAGGTGAAAGCAAAGGCCAGCTATTTAAGAATTAAATAACTGGCCATTCAAAAGTTACTAAAGACAAGCATGCAATCAGTTCTGAATTTCTGAAAGATCACTCAAGCTGAAGTGTCAAGAATTAATTGGATGGGAGCCAGAAAGGCCACAAAGACATCAACTAAAGTATGATCAAGTAATCCAGACTAGGTGATGGTACCCGGAATTTGGAGTTAATTTGGGGGAAAAAACACTACATGGATCTCAAAGCTATTAAAGTGAGTTTTCTATTGTATTAATCAAGAATAACTTCTAGCTTGAGAAACAGTAGAAAATGCCACCATTTTCTCAGGTAGAAAATAAAGAGAAGGGTGGGGGATTTTGCTCAGTGGTTCTGTCGCCCACCTCAGAAGCACAAAGTCCCAAGTTTGATCACCAGTACCAAAAAAAAAAAGAGACAAAAGAAAAGAAAGAGAAGAAGTTTAAAGTGAAGGTTAGGATATTTTTTTTCTTAATGGATCAAACAGGAACTATTTTAGGCTTTGTGAGACACAGGATTTTTATCACACTCAGCCTAGCCACTATGTAGAAACATCTAGAGATAAGATGTGTCCATCAAACTAAAACCTGGATTAGAGACAAAGATGACGAGTTCAGATTTTGACCTTACTTTTAGGTGCCTTGAGAACATTGAGTTGCTTAAAAAGAAACTAGATATGCAGTTTTGAAGTTCAGAAGAGATATCTGGAAGAGAGGGAAGCAGATAAATATATATACATATAAATATATTATATATATATGAGTATATACACACACACACACACACACACACACACACACACACACACACATACATATGTTTGAAATTGAAAGAAAAGATGGAAACTGATGCCGTGAAATAAGTTTGCCCAGGGAAAGACTGTACAATAAGAACAGAAAGTGTCCTCCTCAGAATCCAAGATAAGATGCATAATCAGCAAGAAAACTATGACAGAGCATTCAGGCAAGGCCTAAATAAATAAATAGAACTGAGCAATACACTAGACATAGTATGTTAACAAGAAGGAAGTGACTAGGAAGCTCCAACACTTTTAAGAGATTGAAATAAGATCAGGATTTAAAATTATATATTGGATTTAGCAATAGGGAGATTTTGCTGGTAGCTTTGGCAAGACAAAGTAAAAGGTATGGAGAGGAAAGTAAGGAACAAGCCCTCTCAGATGTTTAACTATGAAAGGGAAGTAAGAAAGAAGGTGGCAGCTGTGAAGTGAAGAGGGTCATCGTTGAGTTTTATCGGAGAAGTGTGCTGTTGTCTTTCCCATTAATCATGTGTATCTTACAAATCCTGACATCCTTCCCACTTAGGCAAGTAATCAGCACAACTGTTGACTGAGCATTTTTAATAGTGATAGACTTAGAAAGGAAGCAAAATATGAAAATTTTAAGGTAGAGGAAAAAAAGAAAAGATAGGAAAAACAGCAGATTTGATGTCTACAATGGATACATCTGGAGCATAAAGGGGGAACTGGCTTTACAGAGCATATAGAATGCTTCCTCTTCCTTGAGACAAGAGAAAAGAAAAAAATGGATGAAACAGACTGAGGCAAATATAACTGTCCCTCAGCAGCCACAGAGGATTGGTTCTAGACCCCTCAGAAACATCAAAACCCAAGGATGCTCAAGTCTCTTATATAAAACAGTAGCATTTATACAGTTTCCTTCACATACTTTAAATCATGTCATGGTTAATTATAAATCCCAAACAAACTAAATACTATGTAAGTAGTTGTTATATGTATTGTTTAGGGAATAAAAGAAAATGTCTGAACATGTTCAAAACAGATGCACTTTTTTTGCCCCAAATATTTTCTGTCCACAGTTGGTTGGATAAGTGGACGCAGAGTCTGGAGCTATGGAGTTCTGAGTGTACATGTAAATAAGGACATGCAGCTGAGGATACTCATTAAACAGGGGCTGAGCTTTCTAGCTCTCCTGTAATGCATGAAATGAGAGCCTGCACAATCAAAATCTATCCAGCACAAAATACCAAAAGGAATAAAAAGAAACACAAAGAGAAAGAGTTCTTGCAGGCTAACTAAAATCACAAAGTTGAAAGCCTACACAGGGACCATCTCATCAGAAAAAAATGAATAATTTTTCCTAGGGGTCATGGCAGATCACACACTCTAATTTCTGTATTTCCTCCTCAGAAGCTTCCAGCTGCAAAGCTACTTACTCAAGTGTTTAGGATCCAGTCACCTATAGCTATACCACTTCTGACAGAAATAGGATTACAATTCACATTTTTTATATATGGAGAAAGGCCCAAGAAAACACAGAACATCAAAATGTATAAAACATTTAAATTAAATCCAGAGATCTGACTCCACCCCCACTTCTTGCAGTGTTATGGATTGAGCCCAGCACCCCACAAATGCTAGGCAAGTGTGCTACTGCTGAGCTGCAACCGCAACCACTACAGCACATCTTCAAGTGCCATATTCTTCCTATGAAAAGTCTGAGTCAATCTTGATTCATTAAATGTAAAGCTTTAGTGGTTTTTACCCTCTTTTCAGTTTATGCCACTGAAAATAATCCAAGTGTAAACAATTTTCATTCTTGCCTCATGTGTATTCCAAAAAGCCATAATTAAATTACATTTTCTCTACACTTGTCACAAAATGTTTGATTTGAGGACACTGTACTATGAGTATTAGGGTAAAATAGTTCTCACCTTTACTACTCCATCAAAGCCAGGGATTGTGTTAACCTTTGCTTTCTTGGCCAATAATTTGCTTTCAATCTTGTCACCCATGGCCTGAATAGCATGTGTGTCAGGTCCAATGAAAGTGACATCTTCTGCTGCCTGTGGAGAAAAACAAGTTGAAGCTTACAACAAAATCATTACACAGCACAATATGAAGTTATGATTTTATAAAAAGAAAACCTATATATTTACATATAATTACATATTTATAACTTCATATGAATAGTCGTTATATTTTATAGCAAAAATCACTTAGAAGAACCTGAGCCAACTCACTAAAACAGTGTATATAAGGACATATTACATACAGTATATGTACACATAGAAATATGAAAAATTACTGAAAATACTAAAGAACTCCTGCTTGCTTGTGACAATACTTTTCAGGAGAGCAATTTCTATGATGTTATATTTATTTACAATATCCTGACACCCAATCAAAACATTAAGCACATCCTTAAATTGCCTTATAAATCTTTGTGCTCTTGATACTTTGCATCACAATGCATAGTACAGCATAAACATCCACATTTACTGAATGCCAACTCTGTGCCAGGCTTTGAGCTGTCGAGGTGGATGAAAACGCCCAGCTATCAACAAATTCAAGGGAACATGAACAGATCCCCGATAACTTGGATAATTCAACAAAAAGGAGAATGTTCACATCCTGTACATGTCATTCTAACAAAAGAGTCAAGGATAGAGTGGGAATTTAACCAGGTAGAGTATGGTTTCAATTAAAAAAAAAACTATTCTATACAAGCCACCTTTAGTTCCCTGACAACAGGTCCACTTCAAGTGCTAATGAGGGAAATTATGACTAGGTACAACAAAATACACTACAGTTAGCTCTACCCATGGTCTGGAAAAGGAAGGAAGGGGTTTGCTGGAAAGATGAGTCACTAGATAAAGACCTGAAGCTAAATACAAAAAGGAAAAAAACACATATATGCTGACCATTATCAGAGTAAGGTGCCCAACTACTGATTCTCCTAAAACCTTCAGTCAGGGTTGGCATAAACAATAAATTGCACATCTCTACATTACCTATTCTACTAGCTGGCACTGCTGTATGTAAAATACCTTAGCATGAGAAAGAAACTTAGCACTCCAGCAATGTGTTGCTTGGACTGCCCTCCCAGAATTAAAGTCACCCAATGCAGGAAGTAGTAGAACAGGAATTAACAAAAGGCATATGCAAAAAGATCAATACCTGGGAGATTAAATGACTTTAATTTTGCACTTGCTGTGTTGAGATACCTGTGAAATTGTTGGGCACCCATGTTTAGAAGGCAGATATAGAGGTTGTAAAACAAGTCCAGGCTGAGATATGAATTGTTAAAGGCATAAAATACAGCAGGGAATTAAAATTTGTGAGAAGAAATCATTCACAGAAAATGTGTAAAAAAGCTAGTGTCTTTGAACTCCAGATGTACACTTACTTTCTTGCCCAAAAGCAAGACAGAGGAAAGAAAAATTTTAGATTTTGAGTCTATTTCATTGAGTCACCATGAAGATAACAGTTGCCTTGCAAGGATTAAAGGATTAAATAGTGTAAAGTAGGAAAACTATCTTTCCTTCTACCCTTCTAAATTTATGGCTCAATGTAATAACTTCAATGAATGTAAACATTATATACTATAACATGAGATAAATTTAATAATACCAACAAGAATGAAAATCAGGATAGAGGAATTAGAGGACAGGGGAGGGAAGCGGAAGGAAAGAGAATGGTATTTTTTTAAAAAATGAAACAAGGTGTAGTTTGTATATGTACTCAACTCCCAAGATGACTCTAAACTGCATGTACTATAAACATGTACACCTAAAATATTTAAAAGTTAAAACAAAATCTATAGCTCATACATCTGTTGATGGCGCACACTTATAATCCCAGTACTCTGGGAAGATTGCAAAATCCCAGCCTATGCAATTTAGTGACTTAGCAAGACCTTATCTCAAAATAAAAAGAAGGGCTGGACATATAGCTCACTGTGGAGGGCCTGAGTTCACAGGGTAGGGCTAGGAGTATTAACAAGACAAAAGCACACAGATTTATTTACTATAAGCTTTACATGACACACAAATCTTCATAAGGAAATGAAGACCCAAAGAAACAGTTAATCTTGAAGGTTTTTATACAGGTGTGGTGAAGAGTGGTCAGTCATGGAAAAATGACAGGGCAAAGAGTACAAATATAGCTGACAAAAGCCATAAAAAGCCTGTTTGCTTGGGTTGCTCTCTGTGTCCCTTTGTCTTTGGAGACAAAGATGCCCCTTTCTTCCAGGTACACAGAAGACACCTCTCACATGAGCATCTTATAACCTGTTTCACAGAAGAATCAGAAGATCCTTCCTAGGTTTTATGGCCTGCTTCATGAGAGAACGGTGGCTGGAAAGTCAGAGAGACCTTCCTGCTACCTCTGTTTTTTCAAATTACTTCATCTTCTAATATTCAATATGCCAAGTTGCCATTTTTTGGGGTAACATGTTCTGAATTCCACCAATAACAATGTAAAGCACCGAGCTTAGTACCACAACCATGATTTTGTCCATTATCCAAAAGTCTGGATAAAAAAGAGAACAGTAACGCATCTAGGTGCAGAGAACTCCAATATATATATTATAACAACTTAAATATATCTTACAATCATCGGTCACAAATTACACAATTCCAGATGCGAAACCTCTTCAACCATAACAGATGTTTAGAAAGGATCACGCTATCAAATGTTTGTATCTAGTTTTAACAGAATCTCATTTTTATGAAAAAATCTCATGCAAAACCTCAAAAACAAAACCCATGCAAAGTAGAGCTATACTATGTGAGAAGAAAACAGCAAAAAACTTCCCTATAATCTGTCTCTGGCTGGATAAACCATTCCAGACCAGGAAAAAAAATCATACTCATTTCTCTTTATCCCAAACCCACAAATCACAAAATACCATGCAAAGGCTAGGGGAAATAATCATGCTTCAATTATCGATTGTCTTTCCATATTGTCATTTTACCTGCTAAGATGGAAGAATTTTATTATAAACCCTTTTTAAAAGCCACTATGCCAGGTGGATGTAATCAAGCAATCAGAATATCCACACAAAGAGAGGAAGAAATAATATAAATGAGAACATCCAAAATACATTATGATTATAGAGTAAAAGTTCTGATTAAATAGGAGCCCAACAGCCTGGGCCACTGATTAACCAGACTTTCCTCATGCATTCTAATTTGAGGAAAATTACTCACCCCAAAATACAAAATTGTCCAGAAAAATGCTCACATCAAGTATTTAGTGACTATTCTTTGTCCCATTCAACACAAAAGAAAAACAGCCAGTGGCATGCTGGATAACTACTCAAACAAATATCACAGTGAACTAATTTTTTATCAATATGTTTGGAAGTACTCCCTAAGTTGGCTTTTATATGTAATTAAAGCAAAGTAAGAAAGCAGCATCCTACACTCTGACTCTCACAATTCTGTAAACAAAAAGAAAAAAGAAAGTAAGAAAGGATGAGACAATATAGTAGTCACAAAGTGACAGAGCATATTTCAAAAGTTCTGAGTTCTTGACCAGAGTCAGGGGTGTGATATAGAACTTGAGGCCAGATCCACTAGTAACCTTCTGATATTCTTTTGTTAACTACTTTCGTTATGCGTTGTGCCAGTAAGATTTATTTCTAAAAATATGCTTTTTAAGGTTGTTTTAAATTTACCATGAATGGAATAAATGAATACAGATAAATGTCTTATGATCAGGGAAAAAGTGAAGGCTTTTTTTTCATCGTTACTGGAAAATAATTGTGATTTCCAGGAACAATTATGCAAAAACAAATCACTGCTCCATGATCCATCTATTTCCTAAATTTGGTGATTGTTTATGGAAAATTTTTGACAGACAAATGGGAAAAATATCAGAGGTTTGAACAATTACGTTAAGGAAATAATGAAATTTACTTTATCACAGACTTCATGTTGGGAATGAAGGAATGAAATTATTATCTGTGAAAATTAAAATGAATGATACATATTCATTCTTAGAAATACTACAAATTAGTAAATTGCTCTACTACAAATTCAGATATTTTTAAATGCAAACATATTAGGCTCACCAAAGGTCACTACTTGGATAATTATAAAACCAAGGTCAGACAACAAAGACAGCCATGCTAAATTGCCCAAGTACCAAATTTTTGGTTTTCCATGCTATTCTCTGCTAAAACAAAAGAAAAAAAAATCTTTCCAGTAGAAAATGCCAATTCCATCACTGATGCAGGAAGTAACACATAAGATAAACTGAATCAGCAAGAAATGTTTAAAAACCTTAATACAGCTTAAGTCTGGTCTGGGAGTATGGCTCAATGGTGGAGTGCTTGCCTAAAGGCCCTTTGTTCAATCCTTAGCACTAAAAATAAAATGTGGAGGAAAGAGGGAAACAATTGCAAATAGACGGAGATACCTACCAAATATAATAATGTTAACATGAGCATCAAAACGAATAATGGAGAGATTAGGGAATCAAGATATATCCTGTACAGGTAAAAATTCCCTATGATGAATGTGATCATTATGTATACCTAAAATGTACCCATAAAATTAATTTTTAGAAAAAGACCTCAAGTATTGCTATTATCTCTGTTCTAGTATTTGAATTTTTGAGCATGTCATTGATTTTTCTAAGTCCATGAGTCTTTTAAAAAACACAAAGGAAAACTAATTTCACACATAAAATTAAAGTATCAAAGTTTCAAAGTATTGAAATATCAAAATAAAAGTGCAAAATTATAATAAGAAAAACTAAAAGCAGAATAACATTCCAACAGACAAAAAGCATTAGAAAAGACAAACCAACACAAAGGAACAAAACTACTTTCTACTACTTCAAAGCAAGCCAAAAGACATTTTTAATTCTATGAAACAGAGCTGGGCATGGGATTACACACTTCTATGCCAACATTCTGGGAGGCTGAGGCAAGTGGATCACAAATTTAAGCCCAGCCTCAGTGACTTAGTGAGACTTTGTCTCATAATAAAGAAAAGGGCTGGGGACATTGCTCAACATGAAGGCGCTAGGTTCAAACCCAGTACCACAAGGAAAA